GGTGCGGTCTACAGGCAGAGGGGCCCCGCCTCAGTGTCCCTTTCCCCCAGGAGGGCATGCTCAAGGACCTACAGAGGAGCGTGGAGGAGGAGGAGCAGGTGTGGAAGGCCAAAGTGAGCGCCACGGAGGAGGAGCTCCAGAAGGTACTGGAAGGGCCCTGAGACCCTGGCCTGGGACCGGTGACCTGGGCGTCGCTCCGGGGGGGTCCGCCTTCCCTAAGAATTCAGACACAACTTCCCAAAGGCCCACAGCTAGATCAGAATTCATCAAAACCAGGGGGAGCGCCGATGGGGTCACGTGGGTCTCCTGGGAGACAGGAGGCGAGTGCGCTGGGTTTTGGCGATGCCACATAAAGTGTTGATTACGGAGTGACTGCTGACTTCTCCGTCTCCAGGGCACCCCCACCCCTACCCTAGGGAGAGGCTGCTGGTCATGCATGAGGTGGGCGGGCACCACTGGGCTTCCTGGGAGAGGGGGCCCCGTCCTGCTCGGGTTCGGGGACACGTGGCACTGCGTCCCAGGGGCTCGCATTTGATGGGACCTTGCCCTTGCTTTGCAGTCACGGGTCACAGTGACACATCTCGAAGAGATCGTAGAGAAGCTGAGAGGAGAACTTGAAAGTTCAGATCAGGTAGGCGCGGGGGCTCTGCCCAGAGGGCTGCTTTCCTCATTACAGAGGCCACCGTAGTTCTTTCTCCCTCGTGGACCACACGTGTTGAGAGGGGCGGAGGGATCTCGTCTGTCCTGCTTTTCTTTCTTGAGAGCCACTTGGCAACTCAGAGCGGCCCGAAATGGCAGAGGGCCTGTGCGGGATGCCTGGCCCCGGCACACGGCAGCGTCTGCAGCGTGGGAGGGGCGTCGGGTGGCCCCAGGGCTCTGCAGACACGGTCAGCCCTGGCCTTGTGGAGGGGGCCTCTGGTGCCCACCTAACAAGGAAATCTAAAAGCTCTTCCCCACCGTGGAGTCTGGAACACATCTGGGCCCAGGAGTGCCGGAGTTCAGGACAGTGTTCTGCTGCCAGGGACTCATTTCTGCCTGTCCTTGGTTGGCCCATCGCCAACAGGCCACGGAAAGTCTCCCAGCCCCTACCCCAGGGCAGCCAGCCTTGTTGCACCCCGTCACCCTGTCCCCCGTGGTCAGTGCCTCCTGCTGGCCCACTCGAGGCCTGTGGTGTGTGTGTGTGTGTGTGTGTGTATCCAGGTGCGGGAACACACCTCACATCTGGAAGCAGAGCTGGAGAAGCACATGGCGGCCTCCAGCGCCGAGTGCCAGAGCTACGCCAAGGAGGTGGCAGGGGTGAGTCTGCCCGGCGAGGTCTCCAGCCCGTCCTGGGTTTCTCCTTCCATGGTGCTCATTAATAGGAACTCAGAGTCTGGGCTCTCGGGCTTCTGCCCTGGCCGTGGGCCAGCTGACCTGAGAGGGGTGTCATGGGCGAATGGCAGAAAGACCGTGCCACCAGCAGGGAAGCATACAGCAGGACAGCCTCGTGAGGCCACTTCCTTCCCTGGCCCGGGGACACCATTTCAGAGGCAAATGGGCTTAAATTTGATACCGTTTACTGACTGTTCAGAGGCGGCAACCCCCCCCC